GAACCTTTGGGTCCGTTGCCCAGGTGACTGCGTCTTTGCGGGCTGGTATGTGGAAGTGTCCCTCCCCAGCTCACCGGACGATTGGGTGGTCCCGGACTTGGTGATCCGAGTGGAGGGTGGTGACGAGAACAGGTGGCAAATGGGAGTTTCCAAATACAGGGGACCCTAACATAGCACCCTAAATAGCAGCATCTTTATTACAAGGAACCCAAAATAAGGTACCCCTAATCTTCTGAAGAAACTCCCAAATGTGCTGTCGTTCCACACTTACACTTTCAGCTTGAAACATCGTCAACACAGCCGCCAAACACTTGCATTGTTACAAGCATGCCATCGCCTGAAATATCATCCTCCTCATCATCGTCATCATCATCGTCGTCATCACCATCATTACCAAGTTCCCCGTCGTTATTTTCATCTTCTGCTTCGCCACGGTCATACTCATGTCACCATCAGCATCGTCAGCATCATCAGCATCACCATCACCATCACTCACCACCGTTACTTGAATTGACGATCATTACCGTCTCTTGGCGTCGAGCTGTACTCGGCACATGCTGCCTTTCCGTGTCCTACCCGCAGTTTCAGTAGTGTGTACACCTCGATGGTGTGGGGTTCGGGGCAATGGCTAGGGCACAGCGAGCTGCTGGTGTTGGTGCTGTTATTGTTATGCTGTTGTGTTTCCTGTTAGAAATGTGTCCTCGTAGTAGCAGTCGCAGTGGCGAGCAGGGTGTTGTCCTCATGCACATACCAAAGCCCAGAGGGCCACAAGACTGGGTTCAGGTAAACCCTTCGAAAAATCATCATTGCACATAGCAGGACATGACTCTTCCATAAGTTTACTCTTGATACTGCATCCGTGGGGCGGTCACTAGTATTTAACTAGGGTTTGTAACAGCTTTGTCGCAGAAGGTCCAACAAGAATGCCTGGCCGTTCAGCGGAGCTACCAAGGCGGGGCGTAATCTGACTTCGGCTTGGGTTTGTTCCGGGCACCGCATGCTGCATGCCGGACACAGGATAGTGAAGGTTTCGAGAGTTTGGCCGCACAAGGGATAAACAGACAGATCCGGCACCCCAGGGTCTTGGAAAAGCTGCCACTTAAAGCGGCTTCTCGTTTTTTGGAATCTCCTTAAAACTGGGTGCGAAATGGGGAGTGTTGAGGGTACGGCTTTGAGCCCCCATGGCCTGCGGAGTTTGATGAGGCTCTGAGGCGGAGCAGGGGCTCAATACTATGGGGCGAGAGTTAGGGGGTTTAGGGTTTAGGGCTGACCGACCTCCAATACGCCATGTAGGGTGTAGGCCAAGTTTACGGGTATGCAGACGGGTAGCCGTACATTTCTGCTCTTAATACGGCACCCTATAAATTGGTGACCCATCCACCCCCTCCATAAAGGGATGTCGTGCTTCCCCGACATGGAACCAGTTCGGAATGAAAGCCTGGACACTTCGCAGTGTATTTGTTGCATTTAGTATAACACAAAGACAAGCTACATGGCGGTTGCTTGTCCTCCATTGGCATCAACCGTCTCAGAATGCTTGGGCTTGCAGATAGCTCTCCAACAAATATCCTGTCAAGTTTACATAAGGGTAGTATCAAAACACGTCCTGGATCCATGGCGGGTCTTTCCGACTTCCGAACAGCTTGAGGGGTCTAGTCAAGCATCCCCTGTCTGCTATGCTACACTTCTCCGTGATATTGCTGCAAAATCCATTACTAATTTTCCTGCAATCGAATATGACCCTGTCGGTTGGGCCATGGTTGTTGTGATCAGGCTCTGTAGAATCCATGATTCACACAACAGGTTTGAGTTTTTGGTGCCTCAGTCAAACATATCTCAAACAGTTCGTTTCAGACACTGCAGCTTGGTTCAAAGAGTCATCTTTTCCTGGCATAGACTACAAGGCTTCGGGACCAGTGCATAAGGCAGCTTGCGAGAGACGGGGGGAGAGGATGAACAAGGGGTTCGGCGGACAGTTTTGGAAAGTTTGGGTTTAGTGCCAATGCATACTCTGGAGCACCCGGGCGATCCGTGTTCAGTCTGAATTCTCAGACCCTTCATCAAGGCAAGCCTACTTGCCGTTTGGTCCATACCAGGCTGTGACATCTACGCGGGCCTGGAGTACGGAACAGAGTCGCTCGACGATTTCAAAAGGGATGGTTAGGGTTCAGGAGCTCACGGTTCGGGTATGCAGGCTTTAGGTTTAGGGTTTAAAGGGAGGCTCACCCTAAACCCCAAACCCTAAACCGTGGGGTTTAAAGGGATGCTTATTTCGACACTTGCTGACTTTCGTCTTCATGGTTCATGGTTGGGTCATGGCCAGCAAGCTGTGCTTGACCTGGTTACCTGTAGGCTCCATTGCAGTTCCTTTTTGTGGTTAATATGTAGGATTTAGGATCCTATAAGGCAATTCCGAAAAGGAACTGCAACGGAGCCTATAGGTAGTTCAATGTATGGAATTCAGAAGCGCAGATCTTCAATCCACCGTGTCCCGTGAGTTTGGAGCCCGAGAAGCTCCCTCGTTTGGAAGACTTTTCGGTTTAGGGTTTACATGGACCCTAAGGAACCTACCTTTTTAGGGCCCCATAATATGATTTCTTTATATGAGTCCCTACAAGGGCAGGTTATTTTGGGGTTGAGGTAGGGTTTACCTAGTCTGGCTGTAAACGAATCTTGACCTCAACTTCATGTATGCTTCCAGCCACTTTTAGCCTAGATTCGGTATCACGGACCGGCGTATGGCAATGGAGATCATATCTATCGTCATTCGACAGCACGTCTCCGCGGATGGTATGGCCAAACTAAGCTTGATTCGAGTTTGGACTGTGTTGAGTTTAGGGTCGTTCAGCAGTCTAGGGCTTCAAGTCCTGAATTTGCAGGTGAGGCTTCAGGGTTTAGTTGTGCGAGTCGACCGGTGGCAGATTTCAACTTGAAGCCAAGGTGCGCATGTCATCGCAATGGTTCTTTAGTTTGACTCGTTGTGAGCAAGGCTTTGCACATGCACTCCTAGTTGCACATGCTGCCCTGCTGTGTTTCGCCCACCTAAAACAGGGAATGGCTGCTCCCAGGCTTAGACCCCCTCACCGGTGGCTCGGGTGATCTGAACCCTGAATGAACCCTGCCGCTCTGCGAGGTACAACCTCCGTGCTCGTGAAGGATGCACTGACCCCTCAGCGTGGGCGGCCTCGGCCGTGGATAGCCGGAGAACCCTATTCGGTCTGCTGCATGTTCAGTTGATGCGCTTGAGTGCACGAGTCCTTAACAACTGATCCATATTTCGTGTAGCCAAGCCAGCAAGACGACAGTGTCCGAACCAAGGCGCGATCTCCCTCTGCCAAACTTTAGGACTTTGCTTATGTTTGCTGTTTGCAGGTTAGGGTTTTGGCATTCGGCCGTGTTTGCCGGTGCGACCTATCCATTGTCTTTAAACACATAGACGAAACTGGTACTTATACTTATGCACATACATACATGCATGCATACATACATACATGCATACATACATACATACATGTGTCCATGTATGTGTGCGTGTGTGTTTGATTTACATAATATGTATGTAGTACATATTATATATATATGTATATATATGTATATATATATATGTATATGTACATACATACCATACATATACATACACACATGTCCACCCACCCAACCTACCCGCCCTACTGCCCTAGCCAACCAGCTACGTAGCTATCTAAGCCTTGGTATTTGTCGGTCTGCCTGCCTGCCTGTCTATCTATCTGTCGAGCCGTCTATCTGTCGATCTATCTGAATTCCTAACTAAACCCTAAATCCTAAACCCTAAACCCAATCCTACACCCTGAACCCTAATCCTAAGACCCTAAACCCTGAACCCCCACACCCTAAATCCTACTGAACCCGAAGTTAGGATTTAGTAAATCCTAAACCCTACTGAACCCTAAATCCTAAACCCCTCTGGTTTCGGTCTGTTTGGGGTATTGAACTCCCGAGGCGGAGCCCGGAAAATGTCATGACCGTGTACTCGAGGCCAGGGCCGGGACTAGGACCCCCAAAAGGCACATGGGAGTATCCGAAAATTAGGGGTACCTTATCCTTGGGGTCCTTACAAGGGTCCTACTAATTAGGGTACTATATTAGGGTCCCCTTATTTTCGGAAACTCCCACATAAGCCCAAAAAGACACATAAAGGAACCCTTAAAGGAGCCCTACAAGCAGCCCATAAAGGAGCCCTTAACGGATCCCATAGATGAGCCCTTAAATAGAGCCGCAACAAAGGCACATAAGCAAAACTTAGGATAGGGATAACCGCCATATAATGAAGGCCAATAAGGTAGGGTGTACTCAAGGCACGGGTCTGGACTACACTAAGAGAATATTAAACATATAGGGCCGGGAGTATAGTCTCCTTAGAAGCTATTTCTTATTGTTGTTTAAACCCAGGAGAGTCTTAAAATAGTATGCTTATTATGGTTCTAAGGGGTGTCCAGGGGAGGGGCTGGTGTTTGCTCCTGGGATTTGGGTTTAGGGGTTAAGGTTTAGGGTAGAGGATTTAGGATGTGCTTTTGGGATTTGGGTGACTTGGGTTTCGGGTTTTAGGTTTTTTGGGTCTAGGGTTTGGGATTTAGGGGGGGATTGGGTGATTTGGGGTTAGAGTTCATGGGCATGTCGATGACTTCATATCAGCAGCCTAAGTTGCAACATGATTTTCATGGCGTAGAACTCGAGATGTAACGTAGGTAACCGTCCAAGGTAGCGAGTACTGCAAGATCAACATGGTTTAGGCTTTCTGTGGCTGTGTTCTGCAGGGTGTTGTTGGTACAATTTTGCACTAGGGCCATCAAAAGTGGCCAGATTGCGCTTGTTTTTGACACACTAAACCCTAAACATCCTGGGACGGGGAATGGTCAATGCCTAAGTCAGGGTACTTGCAGCTGTGGCGGCCGCTGAAACGATCGGCTCAAGCAGACAACCGTTGCTCTCAACCGTGTTAGCTGATCACCGTCCTGCCAAACATGTTCGACGCTTGCTTGCACTGTGATCTGCAGGAACCCAAAACGACAGCTCCTGCTTGTTTGGATGAGGTCGTTTCTTGGGAACCCTCAAGACGCAGGCCTCGGTGTATTGTCATGGTGCTAAATTATGCTGATGATTACCATTACGATTACGATTTACGTTTTTTATCATCACTACCGCTTTGGCAGTGGTGTGATTATTTGCGTTGTAATTTAGTGTTGTTTCTGATATTCCTACTGTGCGTTATTAGTGTTGCTTACGCTGTTAGTGTTGTTGTTATTGATATTTTGTTTCTGTTATTGTTATTCATCGCTCCATTCCTTTTGAAGTTCCTTACAACCAAAAACCTTTCTGGTATTATGTATCATGTTCAGTACTACTGGCATTTTTGTCACTGGTACTTTCGTCGTATTTCAGCATTATCATAAACTACAAAAACTACATTTTATCGTGTTGTTTGTTTTTATTATTCACCTTTTTAGTCTTACTCCACTCCTGTTGTTTTTGATGTTGTTGTTGCTGCTGGTGGTGTTGCTGCTGCGTTGTTATGAATAGGATTGAGACTGAGCGCGGACCTCTAGACTTTGCAAAACACACGAGAATTGTTGCCTGTACGGTAGTTCAGGTAAGTAACCTTGTACTTCATGCTCTGGCCGAAGCCCTAACCGAAAAAGCCGCAAAAGGCTTTGAGCCTGAAATCGAGAAGCTACGCTTATACTAGACCTGAACAGGCTGCGGGCTTGCGGTTTGAGCTTCATGGTCATGGTGTTGATTTGGGTATTCCAGCCTGGTATTGCCAAAAGCAAGACCCGCTGTGGATAGCGACCTGGTAGAGCATGACTTGGCATGAGCTGACAAAGACCACAATCCAACTCGCGTGGTCTGGTTGCTTCTTTCATCTGCTTGTGTATGCCTGCATGTGTGTAGATTTCTCAGGATCATCGACAGACATGAGAGCAAGAGAGCGTAGACAGAGCCAGTGAGAAAGGCCGAAATCATGTCTAGAGTCTAGACATCCCCTAAGGGTCCATGTACCCACATAGAGATACATGATCCCCAAAGTACCCAAATAGGGACTACATTAAGGCCCAATCTATATACTATATGAGTACATGGACCCTTAGGGCATGTGATCCCCGCAACAGCGCCCGTGCACGCCAACCTCTCAAGCAAACATGCGAAAATCTGACTCGACGACCTTGCTCCCCTAACTTCGCCCGTAGAACACCCAAACCTCAAGGGGCCTCTATTTCCGGAAGCCTGGGATAAAGTTTCGATGATTCTGTTATTGCTTGTTACTCAGTACTAGTATTTCCTTAGTACGTAATTCGTAGCATTATTATTCAATATTAGGATTTATCCTGATTAGTAGTTTTTTTGTACTATTCTTGTAACTTATTAGTACTAGTACTGTTATTGATAGCCATTCGAGACCCGGCTGAGGACTTTACTTGCGTGACTTCTGCCTGCAACCCGCCGCCTCCGGGCCCTTTGACCGTAGCTCGGCTCGGATTTTGTGGAGCTTAGGGTTCGAGGTTCAGGGTTTAGGGTTAAGGGTTCGAGGTTCAGGGATTAGGGTTCGAGGTTCAGGGTTTAGGGTTCGAGGTTTAGGGTTTAGGGATTAGGGTTCGAGGTTTAGGGTTTAGGGATTAGGGTTCGAGGTTTAGGGTTCGAGGTTCAGGGTTTAGAGTTTGGGTTTAGGGTGCATAGGGCTCTCGCTGTTTAGGGTTTAGTACAGGGTTTGTGGTTAGGGTGCATAGGGCTTGTACTGTTTAGGGCTTAGTAACTTAGTACGGGCTTCCAGGTGCTCTGTAGCTATGGCTTCGAGCTTCAGGATTCATGAAGCCGATCCCCGAACCCTAGATCCCTGAACCCTTGAACCTCAAACCCTATAAACCCTAAACCCCTGAACCCTTGAACCCTGAGCTCTAAACCCTAAACCCTACAACCCTATACCGTAATCCCCAAACCCTAAACCCCTGAACCCCTGAACCCTTGAACCCGAAGCCTTAAGCCCCAAGCCCATGCCTCGAAGCTCTAGCCCCAAATACCCTAATCCGATCTGCCCTCGCTCTGAGCCATGAGTTTCAAATTCACCCGTACTATATAACTCCAGTAGTCTATGTTCCTTTTTAGTATTTTATGTTGATTATAAGTTTGCGGGTGGAGAGGACCACGGCAGCACCGCAGCAAAGCATCTTAACTAATATACATTGCTGCCTGCAGTCAAAGAGTTAAAAGCCTACATAAACCCTCAACGTCCTTAAACCCAAAACACCCCGTCGAAGCCTTTCCGGCGTCGCGAAGGGCAAGAAGAAACTCGAAAAGCACCCTAAACCCCACACCGATTCTTCTGTATCCTGAGCATGGGCCGCTTCAGACCCTCATCGTATCAATAACTTCCCTGGTCATACCGTGTTCTTGAGTTATGGCTTTGCTGCATTTTCGGCCTAGGCCCACCACATTCTATTGTATCTGTAGTCATATCACATTATAGTATAGTACACTACAGACTCTTGCGTATGTCTTCAACTTCAAGCCCGAATCGTAGTGGAAAATGCCCGGAATCAACGAAGCATCAACGCCCTGTGCGCCTCGCAGCCATGAGCCTGTTGGGACTGTACACGCAGCTCCACCCTAAACCCTACTTTCATTAACCCAGAAGAACCTACCTTTTTAGGGGGTTTCCTATTATGATTTCCTTACAAAAGTCCTTAAAAGGCAGGTTCTTCAGGGTTAATTAAGGTAAACCTTAAACCCTAAGCCGAATCGTCTCCAGGCACCGGAACCTTAAGATCTTGCTCAGTTTCGGGCTGTCCATGAATGTTTGAAGCAACGGTTTACGGGGGCCAGATATCTATCAAGTAGCTACCTACCCTGAACCGTAAACCCCTTAACCCTATGGGATAGAACCTTCGTTTCGCTCAGGTGAAGATCGATCCAGCTGAGTTGGCGAAGCGCGCTGCAGTGGATGCCTCTCGCCATGCAAGGGTTTAGGGTTTAAGGGTATAGGCTTTAGGGGTTCAGGGTTTGAGGTTCTAAACCAGAAGCCCTGTAAGCCCTTATAGTGGAACACTTGATGTACCCGTAATAACCACAAACCTTATGGCTGCTAGGTTTGGGCTCAAAGGTCTAGGGCTTCGCTGAGGTTGCTGTAGGGTTGTTTTCTCAAGTATGGGTTCAGTTGGTGCTTTGAAAGTCTGCTCGGGTGTTTTGGGGGCTTTAGGGCTTCTGTGTTTGTGTATGGTTGGGTTGTAAAAGCTTTCGATAGGAGGTCGACAAGGGGTTTCTGCAGGGTGTTTAGAATGGTTCTTTAACTGTTAGTTGGGAGGTCAGGGTGCAAAGTCACTTGCATCAATACAAGGATGGTTGATTTCATCTGTTGGTTTGAATGTTCGCCCATCCCGTACTGCACGCTGGGACTTTCATGCGCGGCTCACGCTGTTACTGGCCTATATACCACGCTTGGCCAGCTTCTCCACTTCTTCGGTTGGCGAGTGTCGCATGCGAATTGCGATTGCGGGGCTTCAGGCAAGACCGGAGGGTTTGCGTGGAGGAAGTAGGGGTCGACGACGGCTGCTATCTTACCAACCAGCACTCCGACATCCTGGAGGGAAGGAGAGTGCGCCCCACATCCAGCATCCAACCCAATCCTTCAAATCGCGCGGGCTAGAACTCGAATCCGACATGGGAACTAAGCGCAGTGGCCCGACCATCTAGAATCTAAAACCCTAGACTCAACCCGACCCGATCAGAGTTTTTCAATCTTCAGCAAAGCCTTCCGAAGAACATGGTCCGCAAGAACCGCAAGAACACCAGTTTTAGCCAGAACCCTTCAGCTCCTACCAGTACCCGAAGCCAGACACCCACAAACGTCTCAGCCCCGACTCGACCGTCCAAAGCCCAAACGATGTCGTGGAGCCCTCGCACGCACCAGCCTCTGAGCCACTAAACTAATCCATGCGACACACAAACCCCTACCTGGATCCTATCAAACCTTCCTTTTTGGGGGGTTCCCTGCTGAAAAAGGTAGGTTATCAATTTGGTGTTAAAGGTAAACCCTACAACCCAAAACCCTTGAAGCCCCGAAGCTCCAGAGCCCTGAACTCTTCGCCTCAAGTCTACGCTTGGAGGCTGCTCGGTTCTTTGGGGTCCAGGTAAGGCCTTATAAAGTCCATGCACCTGCGTAGTTTTTGCTTTGGCCTCAAAGGGCTCCTGTGAGGTAGCTGTAGGGGCAGCCGAGATACGATAATTGTGTGATTTTAGCATGGGCCAAAATCGTTACCAGCATTCGCCCTCAGGGTTCATATGATATTATGGCTCTATGACTGTAGCATGATATCGCCGAAAGCCCTATTCTACTTGTCAAGGCCCCAATTGTTTTAGTACATGGACCCCTCCCTTTCAAAGCCAAGCAAAAGTTCACCTCAAGTGAGGTTGCTGAGTTCAAGCTCAAGGAGCATGAGGACACTTGCATCGCATGTCCTTTCTAGAGGGGCCATAATGACTAAGCTACGGTCTTGCATTGTTTGTTGCTAGGCTGTTGTCCAGATTACAATGGCTGCAAGGGTATCTTAGTCATCGACAAACTATTCAGACCCCGATAGGGAGGAGTTTGGGGTTTTTATGAGGTGCGAGTTGACGCATGAACGCAGGGTTTTTGTAGGTGTAAGGCTTGTGGGCTCTCAGAGGGTAGATCCCAACTCCCGAAGACGCCAGGTGTCGCAGAGCCCTCAAAGCATCCAGCAGGACCATGGCGTGAACCCGGAAGCCTCTGTTTGACGTAGGTACTGTTTTGGGGGATACTTTCCCAAATCATAATAGTAGTTTCTAAGATATGAACCCTACACTCTACTATATAGGTACTTTGGATCCTTTGGGTGAGTAGCTTATCATAGGCACTTTCCCCACAGACTACCCCAACCTGCCACCGGCCACCACCACCAGCGCCACCATCACCACTGCAACCACTTTGCGTGGCATCATGCAAGAAGCCCTTCTTGGAGGTTCATGGGTAGTTATGAGTTTAGGGTCATAAGTAGGGTAACTATACTTATAACCCATACTAGGGGACTTAGAACCCCAATTATAACCACCCTAAACCCTATAAAACCTCATACCCTATAGAACCCTTTAAGGCATCCTATAACCCTACTTATAACTACCCCTGAACCTCCAAGTCGTCCTTGACCAGGAGTCTGAGCGCAAAGCTGCAGCAGCCACGCCCTTAGTTGCGGTTCCTTTGAGATCTCAGGGCTTTGGGAAAAGGAGGGTCCCTTAATGGGGACCCCTACCCTATAATGGGCTATATAATGGGTATATACTAGCTATATTAAGGGTATATACCTAGGGGTCCTTATTAAGGGTCCCTCCTTCTACACTTGGATTTGTGCTTGAAGTTCCCTAATACAGGGGCTTAAATAATTACCTATACTATTTTGGGGGCCCCTTAATATAATTATTGACCTGGGTTGTGCTTTGGGATAATTTTCAATTTCCCTTACTTATTTCCTTATAAAGGGAACCTATTCATAAACAACTTTCAAAGGGTTTAAACCACAACCCAGTTGAAGTTCCCTAAACCGTTTCATGAACCCTAAGCCCTATGGGTTGCAGGGTTTGCATCCAGCTCCATGTTATTAGGGCTTCGAGTTTAGATGGTATTTACTTTACGGTGTAGGAAATCGAATTTGTGGGTGCAGGCTTTATGGTTTTACGGGTATGTTGTCTACCTTGACCTCCACTATAAACCTAAGTCAGCTCCGGTAGACTGGCAGTTGGAGTCCTGACAAGAACGACACATATCCAACCGCACATGTTGTTGCAAATCCTCTAATTATTCGACACTCAAACTCCTATAGTCCTCAAGCTCTAAGTCTAAACCCTCAGCCCTAAACCCCAAGTCCATGAGCTCTAGGAGTGCTAGGACTCTCAACCCTGCACTCCCATCCCCGCTGCCCTTCCTAGGCAAAAGCCGAAGCTGACAGGCGAGCGGCAGAGACAAAGAAACAGCAAGAGGCTCTCTTCCGGGCTGAGGGTTGTAGGTTGTAGAGGCTCTGTTCGGGGCAGAGGGCTGTAGCTTGTAGAGGTGCTGTTCGGGGCTGAGGGTTGTAGGTTGTACAGGGGTTATCATGTTAGCAAGGCTTATGGGCTTAAAGTTCGGGCCTAAGTTTCAGAGGCGAGCAGTCTTCCAGCTTAACCTGATTATGTTGTTTCTGCGTATCCGAGCATATGTTTCTAGCCAGAGCCCAAACTAGAACTCAGACAGAATCTACCCGATGAAAACAGCCCATGTTTATCTTGGACCCTGAGCCCCTTGCCTCCTAAAACCCGAAAGTCCTAGACGCATAACCTCCCAAGCCGAAGCCGCTGCACTCCTGTATGTTAGGGTTTAGGGAATCAGGGGTTGGGGGTTTAGGGATTCAGGGTTTAAGGGTTCAGGGGTTGGGGGTTTAGGGATTCAGGGTTTAGGGTCTATAGGGTTTAGGGTTTCAGGGTTCAGGGTTTAGGGTTTAGGGGTTTAGGGGTTGGGGGTGGTTAGGAGTTTAGGCTTAGGGTTTGCATACATCATAATTCTGGCGCATCGATGGCTCCTAGCTCCCAAGCCCTACAGCCCGCAGTTCTCATACCCAGAGCGCTGGACCGTGCAGTTCGAACAGGGTTCCTCGACAAATACAGGAAACACAGCAAGGCATAAGACACACGCACACACACACGCACGCACCAAGATGCGTGCGGCAACAGACAGGCACCCGAATCAACAAACAATCAAACAATAAAAACAATCAGTCAAACAAACAAACAAACATCCAACAAATAATCAAGCGAACAAGCAAACAAACGAGCCACAATTGAGCATTTAAACTAGGAAGCACAAGCAAGAAACCAAACAGGCAAGCGCGCAGAAACAGAGCCGCACAAACACAAATCGGCAAACCAAACAATCAAGCCAATCAACAACACAACAAAGAGCAACACAACCACGATACAGCAGAAGAGCACTCAGAAGCAATTGCAGAACAACCCTAAACATGCCACACTCCAAACCCAAAAACCTAAACTTAAAGCCTAAACCTCAAAATAACTCGTAAAGAAACGGCTGTCTGCCAGAGGAGGCGGAGCGAAGGCGATCAGAGGCCGATGCACGGAAAGCCACCGAGGCCAGGAGCATTTGAGGCTCCAATGAGGTCCATGCGGAAGTTTCCGAAAATTGGGGTACTTTACTTTGGGGTCCTTATAATAGGGATCCTATAATTTAGGGTACTATATTAGGGTCCCCTATTTTCGGAAACTCCCATGCAATACGCTATAGGGTTTCAGGGGTTGGAGGTTTCTGGGTTTAGGGTTTTAGGGTTTAGGGGTTTAGGATTCAGGGATGTATGGTTTCTGATTAAGAGGGTTCTAACGGATCTACAATAGGGTTTAATGATATAGGGTCCGTCATGATGGCAACAGGGTTTTTCGGCATAATCACTCGGAATACAACTGTGATAAGCAACCCTCAGGAGAAGATTGGTAACTATTTATTCTTCTGTGTGATATATACGGCTCTCAGAGGGGTTTCTTGAGGAATCTTTAAGGGCTCCTGTCAAGCGCTACACACTGCGCTATACAAGGGATCCAGCCAATAGGGGCCTTCTTACAACTGCTTTATCAGGGTTCCCTTATGAGATCTTTACCAAAGAAGGATGTATAACGGGTTGTAGAAGGGTTGTTGAGGGATTCTGCAAGGGCTCTAAGCGGGCTTGGCGTCTTTTCGCCTAAACCTAAAACCTAAACCCCAAGGATGCTCGAGTCTGCGGGTTCAAGCCGCATTCAATCTTGGCGCTCTGCAGGGTTCAGGTCACGGTTGGAGTTGGTTCCCGCAGACTGGCGCATACGCTAGTCCAAAGGGTCCTAGCAACAGTATTTATGTACTTTATTAATTACCCTAAGGCCCCATAGTAGTTCCTTTTTGTGGTTCTCATTTAGAATCCTCTAAGGTAATTTTAAGAAGGAGCTACTTTGGGGCTTAAGGGTAGACCCTAAACACTAAAATACTCATCATTGGGAACCATTTACCCTTATTTGAGGGTACAAGGAGGGTCCTGGCTCTGAGCATATCTGCTGTTTGGGGCAAGGTTTCTCTTGAGTTCCGTGTCGCCTGTGTTTGCTTCATGTGTGGGATCACCGAACGGATAGAACAGTATTGATACATCAGGTTCCTCCTTTCTGCACCAAGAAAACCATTGACGATAATATGTGGTATCTCCTTAACATGGCGCAGCTAGACAAAACAGATGTGCAATCAATCTCCAATGCAAGCTCAGTGGCATGGCTCGATGCAACAAGGCCGCGGCCCGACAGCAGAGCAGTCCAGCGAGATTCCTAACCCAACATGCACACTCGCACCGCACAAACTTGGAGGTGCATGGGTAGTTATAAGTAGGGTTATAAGTAGGGTAACTATACTTATAACCCATATTAGGGGTCACTTATAACCTTACTTCTAACTACCCCTGAACCTCCAAGAACAGGTGCGGAAGTTGCAACAGCTCCTTTTGGGACCCGGTTCTGGTCTCATTACAAAGAAAGCATGAACGACTCACAGAATTAAGGCCGCAAAATCGCAGAAGTCATAAGCCTTGACCCACTGCCCCGGGCAGGAGGCGGAAAAGCTGCGAAGGGAAGCAGATGCAAAGAAGGCTACCGAGGAGCCCAGCGCGGACTTTTGCCTTTTTTCTTAGACGGGCTGTAAGGGAAAAGCAGGGGCTTCTGTAGGGCACCTAACTTTACCGTCATGGTTCGATGCCAAAGTTTTGTCGGCGATTTAATAGTACGTTGCGAAATGTTGCGAATTCCTCTTCGACACATGTGGCATTTGTGGCCTGGCATTTCCCATTCTGGCTGCAATTACCTGCTGCTGGTTCAGTCAGGGCGTGGGTTGGAGTTAGGGGTTCAGGGCCGAGAGGGATGGCGAGTGCCTGTGACGCATTACCCATAGGCCCCCAAGTAGTTCCTTTTAGGATTCTATATACGAACCCCAAAAAGGAACTACTTTGCGGCCGTAGGGTAATTAGGTAAACTCGGTAGGCTTAGTGAGAGTTCAGCCGAAGGCTTTCGCATAGAGGTGCTCTTGTCAAAAGCATGCGCTGCAGCCTGCAGTCGTAGAGGATTTCGGATCTTCCATTCGGGCCAGCTGCGCGCGAATCCTGAGCTCCCATTGGCGAAGATCGTCGCCTGTTGTGGAGAGAGGCTTCGTGCGTCTGTGAGCGCAATGGCCGTTCCCGAAGGCTATGTGCCCGTCGTCGCCTTTCGCTTTTGTCCGCCCTCAGGGGTCTACTTCCAGCTTGGCATGTACCTCCTTGCGCCTCGGGCGTGCTATGAAGGGTTGAACTCGTCTAGGCGTAGAGGCTGTCGGACTGCACCGTGCCCCCACCGCTTTTTCCCCTCAGACTGAGGACATGGTGAACGACATGGTTCAGATATGCACGTTTCTGCTCCACAGAGACTGGTGGTTTGCAGGATTTATGATCTTCTTTGTGCTTCTATCTCTGCTGCTCACGGTCGGAGGCGTGTCCCATCAGAGCACGCTGAAGCGCTTCGATCCTCTGGGCGAAGCCCGTCTCTGCTTGGCTCGGGGTGTGACGACGAAAGCTTGGGAGAGCATGCTTTCTTGTGAACGAAACGTGGAAGCGCCCGGCACCGGGCTCATCGGGCCCTACGGCGCGGCACTGCTCCAACTCACGCCGCTACAGGCAGCAAGCTGCCTCTATGGGTTGGTGAGTTCGGCAAAGGCCATGGCCGAGGGCAGGTTGCAAATGGAGGCGGGCTGCTTCTGAAAAGAATTGTTGGGAGGTTTCTGACGGCGTGAATGCTGCCTTCGGTGCTGCATCAACGATAGCCATCGTAGGAAAGTCTCGAAAATGAGGGTTTTGCGCAGCTGTGCAGGATCCACGGTGCAAGGACGGACCTAAGAAGCTGTTAGACTCTGTTAGACGGATGTAAGTTGTATGATGTTTGTAATTTTGTTCGTGTAACAAGCAGCCTGTCGATGCCCGGAGCACGTGTCACGTGGTGGCCGGCTCGGACGGTGCAAAACTACCTGCGTTGAAAGCTGTTCGACCGGCGACGTTCACGGCACTCTTTGCCTGGTATTTGGGTGCATTTGCGGCGGAGCTGGCTGCCTTCGCCGTGGCGAGTGCTACCTTGCATCCTCTAGTGATTGTGCCCGGATATATGCTGGGTGCGGTGGCGAACAGTGCGGCGGCCTGGTGGAGTGGATCGCAGGACTTTTTGAAGGCAGCAGTTTGGTCTTGCGCCACTGTCATCACTGTCAGTGTTGCGATGGTAGGCCGCCAGACAACGAGCATTCTACCGATGAGAAGCGCATCAATTGGAAATGGCCCTGGGTTCTTTGCAGCGATTTCAATTCCGGTTCGCTTCATCACCTGGACGGCGCTCTGCTTCCGCGATCTTCCGCAGGGCCTTGCTCCCTTCGGCTCGCTGGGGCGGCCCATGGGCCTCCCTGTGCTCCGCCAGAAATTTCTGGAGCCGGCCACTGCTTTGCAGGAAGCCTTGGCATGTTTCACGTCGCAGTTCTGGATGTCCGTCGAAGCGCAGGCCAACGCGACCTCTGAAGAGGTAGTGTTTGGCGACTGCGCCTGGCCAACAACCGGCGAGCTGAGCAGTGCATCCACCATTTTGAACACATGCTTGTTGTTGTTGGCCGTGGTTCTTGTTCCACTGCACATGTGCATCGTGGTTGGAATGTTACTCTTCAATCCCACCTACGCTTGCGCTGCTGACAACCTCCCGCTCAAGGAGGAGGTCGAGGCCAAGCAGCGTGAAATCAATGATTTCGCCACGCAGAACGAGCAAGCCGCTGGCCAGCATGAGCTGCTGAGGCCACTTCCGAATTAGGCAAAGTCCTCCTCCGCAGGTGTCACTCCGCCGATGCAGCAAAATCCCCGCAATGTCCGGGGACCCAAAAGCGTTGTGCAGGTCGGCTATTCGTTCAGTCACGTCATGTCACTCTTGAACTCCACGACCCTAAACCCTAAAGGACAAAACCTTCAATCCCAGAAGGGCTCCCGCCTCGAGAAAACCCAACGGCCTGCTCACGTCATGAACTCTACAAGGTGTCACTCTGTCGATGCCGCAATGTTCCAAAAGCAGTGTCGAGGTCAGCCAGCCTTGATGTCGCCCGAGATGCTCAAGGCTAGAAGTGACATCGCCCGCAATCCCCACAACCCGGAATCCCGACGCCCGTCCCCCAGTCCCTTATAGCCTCCAGGTCCCGAGTCTCTAAAACCCAAACTCCACAGCTTCTTCCTCTTCACATGTCCCATCGCAGGATCAAGAGGAGCGCCAGAGGCGCGCTGAGGCGTGCACCGTGGTACACTTGATGTCATCGTAGGAATGCCAGCCGTTAAGCTGTTGTTGTTGTTGTTGTTGTTGTTGTTGTTGTTGTCAACTCTCGACCCAAAACCCTAAAGCCTTGAACCTAAAACCCACAACCCCTAAATCCTAGGCCCGAGTCGGCCTGGAATCTTGTAAGCTCGCGGCTGCCCACACGTAATTGTTCACATCCCACACCGTGTAGCTTGAGTCAATTTGCTGCTCTTCATCTGGCTATTCCTGCGTCCTGAGCCTCAACCCCAGCACCTGAGTAATGTAGGAACCTGATTGAGGAACCTTGGGCCTTTATTCGGGTTCCTTTCCTGAATCCTACTATTTGGGGCTATAGGCCCAGGGTTGAATCTCAGGTCTTGGCAGTGGCCACGGTTGAATACTATTCACGACCCCAAACCCCTGGAGGTCATCAACTGGCTGAAGAGTCAGGGCTTCCCTGACATTGCTGCTCCCAAGAAGACCAGACGCTCGGCCATTGATAAAAATTCTGATTGGATTCTAGGGGCTGCGTCCACAGGCGAGCAGCGCAGGTAGCCGGATCAGCCGTACAATGATATGATCCGGTTTCTGCAGTGCAGCCACGGCCGCCGATCCGAATTCAAGAGATCTGCTTAGGCAGGTTTGATGGGACAGAGTTTTTGCCTGGTACCTCCCACCACCAGCTCATGCAACTCAATGTTCGTTCCGACATGAGTTTTGGAGACTAACAATATTGCCGCGGGCGCAATCAGTTTACGACTGAGAAGGTTAAAGTCTCTGAGGACAACACAGCTGTCACCTGTCCAGCTTCCAACTTAAGAGGGTGAGCATAGGTTTGTAGGGTATATGAAGGGTAGTTCATCTTTTGAACTATATGTACGGCCCGCATGGCATCTCCGAGCGTTCGCGCAAGTATAGTCTTCGACTCTTTTTGGGGTAGTATTACCCGGGTAATCTTGATGACTATAGCTCTCAGGAGTTGTTTGAACAGTGTTGTACACCTGCAAAGTCTTCCAAGAACCTTAAGACACTTTTGAAAGCTTAAGAAGAATCGCCTTTGAGCCCTTAAGCCTTATCTATAACTCCAACATAGATTCAACCGAAGGCCAACCCCCCGAAATGTCAGGCTCCTATCGACCCTCGGCCGAGATCCTTGAATGCCAAGCCAAACGCTAAACTCCCAAAACTAGCCCCGATTTAAACGCCAGAGCACGAAGTCCTTACGCCGGCCGTTTGATTGAGCCGATAAGTCTGTGTTGCTCTTATATTATAAGAGCAGCATTTAGGAAGTATGTTTTTTCTTATACTATAACTCCAGGGGATAAAGGAGAGTAGTATTTTTGTTCGAATTCTAAAAACGGTTAAGATTGATAAGGATCCTGCATGTCTACGAGCCATCAATACCCGCTGCACAAAGCGGTGACAGATGGTAACGGCCGCAACCTGGCATGGAAAGCAGACAGTTTCGGATTTTACGGTTTGCAGGGTGTGCGGATTCGGTGTTCCTAGGGCTCCGGGATGTGAGGGCGCTAAGCGTGCCGATTTAACTCTGTCCTGACAGTCTTTCTAAGATACGGTTCAATCATGGGGTAGACCTTCCGGGCCAGCGAAGCGCGCCTTCTTCACAGTTTCAAGCTGTTTCAATAGGCTACCATGCACGGTTTTATTACCGGCATTATGCCGTGAGTCGGGTTTGTCGGCTTCAAGCTCCAGCGTTTGGTCTCTTTGAGCTTGTTAACCCTATGGGCCCCAAGCTCCGTAAACGCCAAGTATAACCACTGCACTGTCCTTACGCCAAGTATAAGCTTGAAGCCTAGGCCCTAGACCCCGACGAAGCCGAAATCCTAAACTAAGCCTAAACTAAAGGACCGAAAATTACAACCCCCCAAGGGCCATCAGTTGGGGCGCAGGATTCAGGTCAATAGAGGGGCTTTGAGATGACTAGTTTAAGTACTTCGGGTTCTTTAAATATAACCGTATACAATATGCTACCCGAAGCCCTCGTTCGATTTGATAAGACCACCACATTATTCATTGCTGAGTGTGAGCGCTGGCGTGTAAGAACCCTGTGTCTTTCATCGTGAGAAACATACCCAAAGGGTCCTAGGTACTGTTATGGGGGATACTCCCCTAAATCATAATAGGCAACTATAGAAACCCTTCATTCTATTATCTAGGTACTTTGGACCCTTTGGGGTATAGGCCCTATAGGCTGAATGTTTGGAAACGTAGCGGCAGTCGATGAACACCCGGAAGCCCGAAGCCTTGAACCAAAGACGTCGAACCAAACCCTAAAGCTACAAGTAAGCCTCTCAAAGCGCCTGAACCATGCACTTAACTTCAAAGCCCTGACACCAAGACAAGCAACCTTCGGCCCCAATCATCCCCGATCGGAGGATGTTGTATTTGCATCCTTAGATCTTGAAACCTAGACCATCTAAACCCTAATTCGCTACACCCTACAGCCCAAACACGATATCTTCAAATCTCTTCCTGGACCCTCCCAGAGGCAATAACTTACAGAGCTTCATTCAAAATAGCCGCGGCTGCCCCAGCCGGAAACCTTCGAAGGTTTGACATCCCAAGCTTGAAGCCGTTGGTATATAGAGGTCGGAAGGTCTACTACAGTGTAAGTGTAACTGTTCCTGTTCGCTCTAGTGTTTTTTCCGTTATTTGTTCCTGAACCCTGAAGTGTTATACTTGTGCAGCGTAGCCTGTTTACGAGCAGTGGGCAGGAGGCTACACTAACGACAACCAAGTAACCCCAAAATGGAACTAACTTCTGCCTAGGATCTTATTTAATCCTGAGCATTAGGCCGTAGAAACCCCAGATAGATTAAATCCTAAATACTAAGCACTAAACCCTATAAACCCTAAACATACTAAACCCCAAACCTTAAACACGAGCCCTAAACCCTATGTTGATCTTCAGGAATTGTGAAGCTTCTCTTGGAGATGCACGCCAATCCCAAGCCTCTCAGCGAAGTATTTCGAAGCAGCAAAATCCTAAACCCCAAAACCTTCCCAGATGACAGATGCCTAACAGCCCTAGACATATGCAATCATAGTAGACTCGAAATCCTGAGTTTGACAAACAAATGAAATCCGCAGAAGCTGTGAACCGCTTGGTTACGAGCATAATTTTCGGATTTTCCATTACTTTGGCACTGAGAAGCCCAAAGGCCCGGCCATGTGCTATTCACGAAGCTCGACCCGAGGTTTAGGGTTTAGGGTTTAGGGTTTTTAAAGCAGTAGGATTGGGCCTCCCAAGTAGTAGCGGCAGGGCAGCAGCAGCAACAGCAGCAGGAGCACGCTTGTCTTGGTGTAGTGTGGTACTGTTACAGCTAGTACAGTAACTGTTAGTACGAGTATTCGTTCCGTTGCTCAGTATTCGTATCAGTACCTTTATCAGCAGCATGTGTACTCGTATTGGCAATATGACGAAAAGTATCAAGAATAGCAGATTCCGCAATCCGTCGTCAATCACAGTGCGGTTTCTTTTTCGGCTCATGATGATGCTATTGCCGCTGCCAATGTGACCGTCATCATCACCTCCAGCACCACGGCCCTGCCACCAAAAACATGATGGCACGAACATAAAAAGACTGCAGCGAATAATCATCATGTCCTTGCCGTCTTCGTAGTGGCACGTCTAGCCCACATCCAGAATGGCCACCACAACAGCATCGACAGTTACGAGTTGGTTCCTGAGTTCCAGGCCATCAAAAACCCAACTAAGTACCTTGACCAGGAGTCTATCTAAGTCCTACCAACTACCTAAACCGGGAGCCACCCTTGGGGAGCCTGATCCCGTAGTTGATGTTCCGACCAGGTTGAAGAACAGCAAAGGAAAGACTCCTCTGGAGGACCTGGTCGTTTTATAAGTGGTTTAAAATATGGTGGAGCTGTTCAGGGTTTGCGTATACCTAGGGCTTGTGGTTTGGCTTGCTTGAGGGCTCATTCAGCGAGGGTGTTGGGAGGCAAGAGCTCCGGGTTCCGTTTGACAGGGTGGGTTCGGGATCTCAAACTGCGCCAGCTTCTTCCAAATCTTTCAGGCTTCGTACCTCAACCTATAAATCTTAAACGCCAGAGGATTTGGTGGGATGCGTATCTCTCCTGTGGCACGTCACTCCGGATCCACGATTGTACTGCCCGGGGCTTGCGTACGCTTCTTTGGGACCTAGAATGCTGTGCAATCTGCGTCCAAAGCCATTTACGGCTTACGCCTGGCTCATAGTAACCCTTACAAGAATCCTTTTGGAGGGGCTCCGGGTCTCGCTCTACTTGGAGGTTCATGGGTAGTTATAAGTAGGGTTTGAAAGTGGGGTAACTATACTTATAGCCCATAATCGGGGACTTATGACCCCACTTATAACTGCCCATGAACCTCCAAGTAGGTGCCAAGGCAGTATGATCTTGGGGCTGGCTGTAAGGCCTGCAATCTTACAGTCCAGGTGTTTGAGAAGAAGGAGATACCTCTGGAGGCTTCAAATAACTGGGCTTTGGAGTGCCATACTGTATTTCTTTATCTCAAAGGAACCATTATGAAATAAAGGTTTATACTTTTTCTCCCTGGTTACGTAAAAGCCCAGAGAAGGGTCCAGGGGACACTAAGACAGAATTATAAATAGCAGAATCTTGAATACAAGGCCCGCCCAACTCAGGTACCCTAGTTTTTTGAGACTCCCGTTTTGTAATTTATGGAACCTTACAGCGCGGAGGCATCGCTAACAGGACGTTGGACTTGCAAAGAGTCGGAAGCAATCAGGCAGTCGACACATGTTCCTCATGCCCTTCTGTAGGACATCCACAAGGTTTGGTATTTGTAAAATCCTCAAGGACAGTGATGGTGGATTCACGAGAGTTCCTCACTCTCCGGTTTTAGAGCTACCAAACTACTACGCGTCGGTACTTGCGTATGTCGGGATAGGAAGTTCTTGCATCCAGAAACCTTGCGTGAGGTCGCGAAGAAGACCAAGACGACGGCGTCCAAGGAGATCATCTCCCTCCTGGAGGATGCCGCCAAGCGCGCCTAATTCGTGCGAAAGGCTTGAGGCTTGGGACCCCGCATGTCTGGAGCAGACTTCATAGATATCACTGAGCTCATGACACTGCACGGGAACCCCGTCGCGGGTGCTGCACCAGTCGTTAACCTTGTGTTTCCTCACGGTCACAGCCCCCTAAACTCCATGGCACTCTAAGTCCTAACCCCAATCCCTGAACCCAAACCGTAAACTGCCCTGAACCCTAAGCTTTCGTGAAACCCTTATAGAACCCTCCCTTTTGTAATTTGTACCTGTATATACCCTGTCTGGAACCTGTACTTGGAGGTTCAGGGGTAGGTATAAGTGGGGTTAAAATTCCCTAATTGATATGATATGGGTTATAAGTACAGTTACCCTACTTGTAACTACCCATGAACCTCCAAGTAAAGCGGCCTTCGCCAAGCCTCTCTCCAATTCGCAGATGCACGAGCAGTTCAGAGCGACCCAGAACCTGAAAGCCACGTCGCGGGAGTTTCAGACATTTGATTTTTTTTCTGAATTTGGGGGCTCAGGGCTTATAATTTGTTAGGGTTTAGTGGTTATGCTACATCGTCTAGGATTCAGTTTAGTTGTGTTTTTCGGGCTTACGGAAGGTTTAGTTCGCAGCTGAAGGGCGGTGCTAAAATGCAGGACCGCTAATGTGCAGTCCCAAAGTGTCCTAAGTACCTACATGGTAGAATGTAGAGTTTCTCTATTGTTAGGAATTGCTACTAAGATTTTGGGAGGCATTCCCCCGTAACGGTACCTCGGACCCTTTGGAATTTATCATGCCTAGTGTTCGTTCTATGCCGGATGAGTGCTTTTTGTTGGGTCAGCGTGGGTTGTCGAGGCGAAGAGCCGACCAAACGTTTCAGATTTGCTATTCATGCAGGCTTGAGCTACTATAGGGGCCTTAATTGTTTAGGATTTGGGGGTTCGTCCTTATAATTATCGAATCGCATAATTACCCCAAAGCCCTATTCTAATTATTGATGCCCCTATATTAGCTGATCAAAAAGTAGCATATTTTCTGTGTCATCTGCGATTCGCGACGGGGATTGAAGACACTCGATTTTCTGAAAGTAAGGGTTTGCGTGGTGGAGCGGGTGAGAGTTCAGTAGCAGCTGCGATTCGAGTTGAGGTCCCCTCGGTATTTTCTAGGCAGGTTGTTAAGGTCATAAGGACCCTCAAAAGGGTGGGGGGAGGGGGTGATTCGGGGGCCTGAATACCGATAATAAGGACTTAATAAGGCCCATTTGAGGCAGTACATACCCCCTCCCCCCCAAATTACCCCCCAAGGGTTCCTGTGACGAGGGATTTCTGGAGACAGCTAGTTCAGAGACTGCGGATTGGAGGTTAGAAGGCGCTTATGGGATCAGAACACGAGCAACCCAACGTCTGCGCAGGCAAGTACTTGAACCCTAGACCCCCAAACCCTTAACTTATTGGCTGTAAACTCAGCTTTTCAACTTTTGGGGTTCTTATAGGGTAGTCGATTCTGAAAGTTTCAACTTTTGTTTCCTTGGGTTTTGGGCCAGTGAGTTAAACCCCTAAACCAGTAAACCCTAAACCCCTAAACTCCTAAACCAATGAACCCTAAACCCCTTAAACTCCTAAACCAGTAAATCCTAAACCCTAAACCTAGACTTTAAACCCTAAGCCACACGGTGCCTAAACCCAGGATTCCTTAACCCGACATCTTCGTCCCAAACTCTCTTATCGAAGCCCTGCCTTTGGAGACCTCGCAAGGGCTCACTCGGGCTGGGGATCGGGGCTACTTGGAGGTTCAGGGGTAGTTATACTTTGGGTTATACGTCCTCTTCTAATATGGGCTATAAGTATAGTTACCTTACTTATATCTCTTGTAACTATCCATGAACCTCCAAGTAATGTATGGTAGCATACATCCCATTGCCAGTGCCCACGATGCGGGCCCGAACTAGTAGGATGAAAGTGTGAGTGAATGTCGAGATTTCCGCGGCTTGGAGCGCAGGAGTTTTCTCAGAACGATTGCTGGCCGATGCTGGCCGCATGTCAGTTGCAAGCAGGATCGCGAGAACAGGGGTTGCGATGCACTGGAAGCTATGGCTTGTGCTGTTGAATGTGATGATTTTCAGCAGAGAGAGTAGTAATGTTCCCTTGGCCAGGTTTGTGGCGCATAGTATGTGAACTATCGAGGCGAAGCGAGCGCTGACCATGGCTACTACTTGTCAACAATCACAAACACCAATACCTATCATTATGATTATGGGTTTGTGCTATAGTATTATACCGCTGTCTGTGAAGATCGAGGACTTCTGGGGTGTTGTGCCGCGGCAAAGGCTCTTGCAGCTTGTAAGCGAGTTTTCAGAATCGTGGAGGCTTTGTGTGAGGTTCCATCAGTCGCTGTGGCTTATAGAATCCGGGATCAGGGAGAAGGTATCCGGGCTCCCGGTTGCGATCATATGCAGCGTACTTGAGCATCGAATGGAGCTCCTGTTTCTTAATGATCCTGTCTTGCCATGATAGTATTGCTGGTACCGCGTCAGGAGGAAGCTGGGCGCAGGAAGATGCGACCGCCAGTCATATAGTCTGATTTTCCACAGCAGCTCAGCTACCAGCCTGCCTGATGCCTACCTTGCCAACGGCGCACGGCTGACATGCTCTCCAGAATTCAGTGCAGCCCGAAGCCTTGTGCACGCAGCGCGACGAGAAAAAAGACACCCTCAGATTTCGGGAGTGAAAACAACCAGTAGCGTAGCAGGGAGCAACTCCGCAGAGTTCCCATGATATATGTGTATAAACACTGAAAAAGGAGAGAGAGAGAGAGAGAGAGAGAGAGAGAGAGAGTGTGTGTGTCTATATATATATATATATGTATTTAATTATGTGTGTATACACATGTATGTGTATGTGTGTACATATATACATATATATATATATATATACATATATGCATCACATGCACGGTGCGGGACGACCCCCAAAGGCCAGTCGTGTCCTCGATATTCAGACTCAGAACGTCGAAACCGAAAAGCTGAGCCGTCAAAAGCCTTGATATTCGCCTCATCTTTTTTGTGCTTGATTTCTGAAAGGGCCATAAGGACTCTAATAAAGGGCCCTTGGAGGGTCCTGGTACCCGCGAAGCCCTAAACCACAAACCCTGAACCGCAAGAGCCCATCTTCTGACACACACGGGGTTGATGGCTCAGGGCTTAGGGGTCTAGTTCGCGGTTTAGGGTTTAAGGGGTTTAGGGCTTAGGGGTTTAAGGGGTCTAGGGGCTTAGGGTTTAGGGGTGTGGCAAGGGGTTTGGGGGTTTAAGGGTTTGGGGGTTTAGGAGTTTAGGGTTTAGGGGTTTAGGGTATAGGGCCTCAGGGTCTAGGGCTTCAGTATCAGGCACAAGGGTTACTCTGCTCTTGAAACGACGACCACTGGTACTGCTCTTTTCTCAGGATTAGATGAGCAACAACTCGAAATTCATGGCCGTACACAGGTGCATCATCAGCAGGCTGAGGAACATGCTTAAAGGATCATGGGACTTAGTAACTAAGGTTATTATCAGGGTAATATACTTCTAACCCCAATTAGGGTACTTATATCCTTACTTACGAAGTCCTGTGACCCTCCAAGTGCAGGAGTCAAGACAGTAACAACAATGCAGCAGCCCTGAATCGTGCACTCTGTAGCCCTCAGCCTTAGCGCCGTAAAGGCATAGACACCCATTATATTACAAATTGTAGCACATCATGATATATGATAGTACATCATGGCCCCTAAACCGTAAACCCTCTTAGATCAGATGATCATATACTGTGGTACATTATAGTATTTGATAGTACATGCTGGAGACTAAACCCTAGGCACTAAACCTTATCATATCAGGCGATAGCATGTCGTTAAGTGAAGTACAGTACCTTATCGTACACTGTTCTTATGGTTGTACATGATGGTATATGGGAGTTTCCGAAAATAGGGGACCCTAATATAGTACCCTACATAGTAGGTTGCTTATGATAAGGGCCATCAAAGTAAGGTACCCTCGATTTTCGGAAACTCTAAACCCTAAACCACCCTAATCCCTAAACCCTCTATAGAACCCTTATAGATCCCTTTGAAGAACCCTTAAAAGGCACTCCTAAATTCTCGGAAACTCCCATATCTAAAGCTCCAAACCCCTTGAGCCCGAAGTGCAAGTTGCGCCCTGGCCCAGGAGTAGAACGCCGGCTGGGACACCGGTCCGGGTGCACAGAAATCTGGTCTTTAGGGTTTACCTTAACCCCGTGAATAACCTACCTTTTTAAGGACTTCTATGAAGAAATCATATTAGGGAACCCTAAAAAGGTAGGTTCCGTAGGGTCCAGGTAGGCTTTAGGGTTTAGGGTTTAGGTCTAGGCTCTAGGGTTTAGGCTTTGGAGTTTCGGGTGTTAGGCTCTAGGTTTGGGGTCTGGGCCTTAGGGTTCTTTCTTGACGTGTACAACTTACAAGTCTTGTAGCTAAAAGCATGAGACCGTGTAATTAGCATGGGGACTGGTCTCCATTGTTGGGATCTGGCTACTTCCTGAAGTATACTGCAAGATGATCACTTCCACTCAAAGGTGCAAGATCTGTTGCCGGTTCGGGAATCATGTTTGGGGGTTCGGCTGCTAGGTACGAAATCTACACCTCAGAACCTGTATAAGAGCTCCTGTATGAGCTGGTAGCTCTGACGAATCTGTGGGGTATTGCGACTCCAAGATGCAGACCCTAAACCCTAAAGCCTCGAATCCCGAACCCTGAGACCAATCTCATGTTTTTGCCGCTCGTGCTGTTGCTGTTGTTGCTGTTTTATGTATGATGGGTTATAGGGGTGGTGGTGGTAGCAGTAGTAGCAGTCGTCGTTGCCGTAGTGCTAATAAAGGGAGCAGTGGTTTCGCCGAGGCTGACCTCAAGGCTGTCTCGGACACACCTTTCTCCTACGAGATTAGCTGGGCCTGGAACTCAGAGAGTGCGTTGCAGGTCGTAGCTCCGCAGCTTCTGAGCATTCGCGCAAAAA